ACAAAGAAGTGTGTGTTTACGCTTTATTATAATAGTATAGATTTGTATCAAGTCGTCTTGAATGTTATTTACAAGACGACAAATTAAACCTAACATCAGTATCTAAGTATTAATAACTTGATATATTGCTTATGAATTAAATAAAAGTATAAAATGCTTTCCCTATTGAAAAACATTTGAGTGTTTATTAAAGTTTGCCCTTCAAATTATTTAAACAGATGATAAAAATATGCTAGAATTGTTTTTCTGGTTACAATGTTGGTCTTATTTAGATCTTTACAATATAGTTGACTTTTATATAAATTATGCACAACCGTGGGCAGGATTCCTAGACTTGTATGTGACCTAAACCTAAGTTATAAACCGGCGCTTGGTTGGTTAAATGTTAACAGCTTGACAGCCGCGGTTTGGTATATGGTTTACGGTGTAATTTGTTTTGTACTTCACAAATGTCACGGTGAGTTAGTTTCAGAACAATATATCACAATTGTTTTAAGTTTTTTTTTTAAGTAGTTGTTATACTACCGCATTCTTTCACTTCATTACGTACTTTTTGTTTTATACGAGTTTTATATTTTCCAGTTTGTAAGCTGTCTGTAGACTAAAAGTATGATTTTTTAACCCATATTTGTATTTGTCAAGATAAAGGGAACGTTTAATTTTTCGATTTATTATAAAACTAGCTGTCCCCTTGCTACTTCATTCGCATAAAATTATGAAAATTTTATTTTATTACATGTGTCAAATTATCAATGGCAACCTTGCTTCCTTCATGTTGGCAGCAACTTATGGTCTCTTTCCCGCATTAGGGATTTATCCAAAATATTTACCCCCTAAGTTTAATGGCGTGAAAATATGTAGCCTAAAGCGTGACGTAAGTGTAGGGCGTTTTATTAAAAAAAGAATTATTCAAAAATGTGCTGTAATAGCCGACATCTTAGGCAACAAAGAAGTGTGTGTTTACGCTTTATTATAATAGTATAGAAGTTTAGATATATGAAAACAATATCCTTTACATTTATTATCTATAACACAACAGACGTCTATCCGATCAGATAAGTAAAAGGTTTTTTTTGTTTAGAGCTATCTGGGAATATAATAGATATAAATTAATATTTATCATGTAAATTTACATAAAATCATTGTCAAGTAACAAGTACTAATAACATAATACTGTTATTTTATATTCAATATTCATTTAATTTGTCACTTCCTTGTTTTCTGCGTAGCCGTAGGTGTACTGTACTACACACCAAAGTCTATTTTTATTTTTTGTTATTACTATATGTAAATCCATAATAATCTCGATAACATTGTACAGAATTATGTCATACAATCTCATTGATATCCTTAAAATAATTTTGCTACCTCAGTTAATGTTGTTTATTTAGTCTGTGATAGTTTTACTCAATATCTTACTAATGTTATTTTGAAAGTTTGGATGGATGGATGTTTGTTAGACTTTGTAACCTAAACTGCTGATCTAACCTCGTTGAAATTTGGCATACATCTAGAGGATGGTTTGGAAGAAAACATTGGCTAGTAGCTTTTTTGATTCCACGCGGACGGAGTCGCGGGCGAAAGCTAGTACTCAATGATTTCCACAGTTGTATTGTTTTAATTTTATCCATACAGAATTTCGATCTAAAAGTATCTATAGAAACGAGTATTCAGTGTTAGAGACGACACATAGAACTGATCAAACTTTTGAATCATATTTTATATCATGCGCGTTTTAAATAACCTATAATAATTAACGCCTACGTTAAGATATTTTATGACTGTTTACGTTAAGGTATAAACGCTATTATTGACACCACAGCTCAATGAGACGATATCGATATATTAAAGCGCGATCAAACGTCCAAATTACTTTATTCACGGCCTTAACATTGTTCTTGTAAAGTGTAATTAGATGTGATTGCGCGGAAGCCATGCTAACCTAAGGGCTACTATACACTGTTTCAAGTAAACGGTAATAAGCGGCCTGTGTGTTTCAGTTAGTAGTTGATGTTGCTTGAAGTTGTAGATACATGATAAAATCCGTGTATGCCGGCCTTAGCGTCTGTTGGACATGATTGTTGCTGTTATTATCACTCCAGTTAAGTACCAGTTCGGCTTTTATTCATATATTTTGCACTCAAGGTGATCTACATTCATAAATAATTTGTCCAATCGACACACGTCGGGACATACGGCTGTTTAAACTGTAGTACTTGTTCGGTGCAATTTAAGGACTTTTTTGTATAATGTTATTCTATATTTATTGGTGTTTTAATTAGATACAAGATTACAACATAATTTTTAATATTAAGTTACCTAATTGACATTAAACAATGTCTGAATCTAGAAATGGAACATAAGATTAAACTCGTAAAAAAATGACTTAGGAAATACAATTTTAGTTATTATATATGTGTATGGAACATTTTAGTTAGTTCTGTTTACTCAAAAACTAATTCATCATTCTACTATTTTATACTTACAACTTGCTCGTTCAATTTAGCTGCCGTATGTTCTCGTAGCGAACCTACGCCCTCATCAAGGTAGTCTAGATCTGAAGTAAACTATCTGCCTCACCACACCTCTTTGCTGAAGTCATTGTCTCTTATTGCAATTGTAATAAGTACCAAAGCTGTGCGCACTCAACCGCATACTTCAAAATTTCCAGAACGTTCTTTATTTGAAACAAATCGATTTTTTTATTTATTGTTTAAAGTTTATGGCTTTAGATAGTAAAAATTGTATTGTGTACTGGCCCGTATTTTTTTAACAATCGATTTAAAGGTTAAATACATCGTAATTTCTTTGTTGACTACAATAAATAATTATAGGCCTTGATCGGGTAATAAACGGTAATTCGATTTCAAAATAAAAACAATGCCACTGCTACACAAAAAAGTCGCCAAACTCCTAAACAAATCTTCATAAAAGTAGCTAAAAAGTTAGCTTTTCAATAGAAAAAACCATCAAGATCGTATTCTACATTTAGTATGAAACGAGTTACAATTAACAGCGGGCGCAAACTTTGACTAAACTATCGCACAACTGCTGTGCGATTGTCGACTGTCGATTGTTTCGCAGCCAATTCAACCGTTGAGTTGCAAAACTAAAAATCGAGTAGTGTGCGCACCTCCATATAAGTTCATAAGAATCAAAGCGAGACTAAATAGTTAGCGCTGTAATACACCATACATTACAGTTGAGAAAAAAAGCTCGAAAAAACTTTAAATACATATCAAATTGTATTATAACGACTTGACCATACAGTTGTTGCTGGCTGTAAACACTTTTTTGTCACCATATGCGATTAAGAAAGGAATTCGGTATATGTCCACCCTGAACGGCCTTCATTTGGTTTTTGTAGGAGATTGGTACCGGATCCTATAAGGATAAATAGAAACTGGTACGTTAAAAAAGTTAGAAATATTAGATGTTGATTTGTCAAATCTTTATAAGGCTTTTTGCGAATTAGAATATAATAAAACAACAAGTTCAAACGGAGAGACAGCTCTTATGTTTAAAATAAGCGTTTAATTATGGATTTCATGAAAACAGCAATTTTATATAATGTTTTTATTTGCACTTTGGCGGTAATGGCACTGTATTTTTTTCTAAAATTTGCTACATTTAGAGATGCATGTGGAGGCGTTTTAAGTCTTACAAGATTGTGCTAATTTCCACAATTTTTTGACGCAATCTACATGCATCTCAAATAAATCGTTAACAAAGACCTTTAAAAAAATG